GAAGAGGCGGAGAGGTGGGTGTTTTTCATCTGCTGGTGGACTACCTGAGAGATACAGCAGGAGAACACGCCGTCCACCGCGGAGAATAAACGGAAGGGCAACCATGGCAACCATGCTCCAGGGTCTTCTTCGCTGCTTTTGGTGTATTTCGGGCGGCAGCAGTGCCACTTACAGTCCTGACATATGTACTACATCGTTTCCAGCATTTCCAGCGGTCTAGTGTGAACAAACGCGTTAATGAATCGAATGCGTGTGAACGGAAGACTTTTTTGCGCTTGCGTATGCGTTTTACCGTATGCGTCCTCGTGGGGCCGTGGTCTAAGCCAAACTATATCCGGTCACAGACATCTGCTATTTTAAAGTAAAGTCAACACATATAGACCCTAAATATAGTCTATATTAAGAACGAGAAAAGTCTTAACATATATATCCTTTTTTGTAAACATATGACAAATGTGTGAGGGTGATGACGTCAGAGCATCGTCCTATGTGCCAGGGCTTAGCCCCGGACAGCCCCAGCCCAATTTAACCCCTGGGTATTTGTGAGGGAGCTCCTATATGGCATTACCCCGCGGAAGCTCACCGAAGTTTAATATATTTCATAGTTAAAAGTTTTGTCAATTGTTTTGTTTATTGGTCAAATACTAGTTTCTAATGGTTTCTGAGGAATTTTACTGGAATGAAAGAGCACAGAGTCTACAGAAGCAAAAAAGCAGCATACTGCATTAAACCTGACCTTCACAGAGAGGTTGAAGTTCATGTGGAGAGGAGGCTTCATTAGTCTGTCTGCACTCTGTTTAGTTGTGCTATCGTTGTGCTATCTTACAATCAATAAAGTAAATGTGAGGTAAAGTGTGTCGCCAATGTAACCGGTTAGAACTCAAAGTTGCGATGAGGTCTTAAAATGTATGGAAAGGGTCTTAAAAAAGGTCTTAAAAGGTATTAAATTTGACCTCAGGATTCCTGCATATACCCTGTTGATGGAGCACTTGCGATTCTAACTTCTGAGTCGGCCAACAAATATACATCATCACTTCACCACTATAAACTGTTTAATCAATTGGTTAATCAACCAATTTCAGACTGCATACTTCAGGATGAGATTAAGTATATACTTTATTAGATAATATTAAATCAGTCAATTTGACATTTTAAACTGCGCTTCAAAATTGAAAGTGAGTAACCCATAGTGTTACATGTTGTCCTGTGTTTGTCCAGACTCTGAATGAAGAAGCAGGGAAGCTGCAAAATGTGATCAGCCAGACGCTGCAGGCTCTGAGCTGCTGCACCGATGAAGAGCACGGCCGAGGCTCGCTGGAGGAGGCTGAGGCGGAGAAGCTCCTGCTGGTCTCCTGTACATACTACTACTACTACTACTACTATTAATAATAACTTACATTTATATAGCGCCTTTCATAAACCCAAGTATGCTTATACAGAGGGAATATAAAACACACAACAGAACATGCAAGGACTGCACAAACAAGGAGACAAAAGGCAGATAAGGAGATGTGTGACATTGTTTGTGAGTGCAGGAGGATGAAGAAATTAAAGTTGGAAGGCTAACAAATTAGTTTTCAGGGTTTACTTGATGATGTCCAGAGAAGGGTCTACATTTCAGTTTTAACGTAGCCATCTTTGTCTACGAGCTACATATGAAATATTGCTTTCTTTCGATAATAACATTTTGAAATAATACAAACGAGTGTTATTAAAAAAAAAAAAAAAAAAAGAAATATTATGCATACATTTGTCTGTTTATATAATAATAATAATAATAACCATCCCTATTTTGCAAAGCCTAAATAATTGTATTTAAAGCATAAGAGTTTTTTCTTCATCTTCTTAATTATCTCCATGTGATCTACTTGTGTTTTCCAGGTGAGAAGCGTTCTGCCCTGCTGGCGGAGGTTGCTAGACTGAGGGAGGAGAGGGGCTCTGAGTCAGGAGAGGAGGGGGACTATGTTCCCCAGCAGCCCTGCAGAGGGACGGTCAGCATCACAAACATCCAGCTGCCTCTCAAGGTGGAGTTTGTCTGCTCCTCGCACAACCGCACAGGTAGCAGGAAAACAATTCTACTTTATTTGATTGCATTTTAATTGTCCCATGGTGGCTGACAGGGGAAAACGCACACAAATGTGTCAAAACACACGAAACACCGCATTTAAAAAAATGCTGCAATACGAAATTCTGACGTTCGGGAGTTATAAAGTTTGTCAACAGTCACTGTCAATGAAAATTGCATGAATCCTTCAGATATTATTGCAGATCTGCTGTAAGCCATTGAGCTAACGTAGCTAAACTAATCATTTTAAATATAGTGACTAATTTGAAGCATTTTGTATCTGCAGCATTTTAATATTTGCATCGTTTCTGAAGTTGCAGCGTGTTTCTCCTGATGAAAGGGTTTTACGCCATTGCAGTGCATTTGCACCAGTCAGCCACAGTAGTCCCATATTGTTCATATGTATAAGTTTAATAAAAACGAGTTTTAGAAAATGCACGGCTTAGCTAATACAAATGACCTGTTTGACATCCAGTTAGAAAGGACTACGTTTTTTGTGTTTAGGTCGGCCGAGTCACTTCTTTTTCGCGCTGATCCGCTACGGGCCCTGCAACATCGATGCCACGCCGCTGGCCACGGCTGCTGATGCTAAGAACGGAGACACCATCTCCTTCCCTACTTTTGTCATCCTGTAAGCTGCTGCATTGTTATTGCGTTTAACAAAATATTATGCATCAATCCTGGAACACATTTGCTGCTTTTGCATACTACATACTTTATTTTTCTGATTTGACAGCATGTTTTTTCACCAGTAAACAAAACCATTTATTCCTATTGTTTAAATCAGTGATAGACACCCTGGTTTTGGGTTAAAATGCTTTTAACAAACTATAAATGAATGGTAACATCCAAACAGCTTGTCCTTTAGTAGGACACATTTGTTACACGTGTTGAATGTTGAGTTTCTTATTTATGATCTTGCTCACTTGCCTTTTTAAATTTGAAAAGTCTCATGCCTGCATAAATGTGATCATTTGAGTGGGAATATATGGATTATTGCAACATATACTGTTTTGTCCCCTTGATATTTAAGGAAGGATATCCGCTCATCCTTTGAGATAGATGTGGAGGTCTACAGCCTGGTAAGAACTTTCAACATATGGATGTGAATTCATATTTTACTATGTTTTCAATCAAATATCTATAATAGACTGAAAAGTAATTTTTTCCATTGTGAAATAACATTTCCAAGTTTAGTATGCCAGTAATGGCAGCATGCTAGGTAGCTCAGCATGTTGTTGACCAATGGGGTTTTTATTTGTATTATTATTTTGGTGTTTATATTTATGCATCTTGTTAGCACACTAATTCTTCTGAGCATGCTCGTTGTCTTAACTGGTTTTTCTGGTACATTGTGGGTATAACAGCATTATTAGGCACATCATCTACAAATGTTCTGTTTTTGTGCCATTCTAGTCCCACACTTCAGGTGGTAACAGCAGCATGGACCGGGCCACCGCCAAGTCACGGGTAAGTCAGGAGACAAATAAATGAGCCATGTGTGTATTTACCAAAAAAAGACTGGTTAAGTTGTTTGCTCATATTCAGGTTACGCCAAGAAAGCTTCTGAACACCCTCAAAGTGAGTATCCTGTTAAATGTCCCGTCCCAATCATAGAGTATGTGTTGTTATTTAACCTCTCACCTAAACCTTTTATTTTGCATTTACAGAGATCCAGTCACAGTCACAGCCTGACATGTAAGTTGAGTTTTATTTTGGTCAGTACTTCTTATATTATATCTAGGGATGCTCCGATCGATCGGCCGCCGATCGATACCTCATTCATTCCTATGAGAGTTGCTCATTGGCACATGAAGACAGAATGGCCCAACTTTTGAGAGAGCGAAATGTCACAGATTACCCGTCATGCCTGAGAAGTACCCATATGTGCGCTTTAACCACGACCCCCCCAAAAGGCTTGTTCACATCAAGCACGTCAATTTGCAAAACAAGCTTGCCAAAATGGCTTCACCAGTCTGGCTGTATTTTAAGGTGTCCGAAAATGACGGTATGCAACGTGTGTGAAGCAGAAATCCTGCAGCTCCACCCGCTGTGACGGACCGGTGAGCGGAGCAAAACACTCTAAGAGTTAGACCTAACACACTTATCTACCTCTGGAACTAGCTAGACTAGTTATAAAAATATTTATTCTTCACTGTCGGGTCACTCATTACTAGATCAGGGAGCTGCATGAGATACTGACAGGCTGTCGAGAGAGATCTCTCTCTCTCGACAGCCTGTCAGTATCTCATGCAGCTCCCTGATCTAGTAATGAGTGACCCGACAGTGAAGAATAAATATTTTTATAACTAGTCTAGCTAGTNTGTTGTCGTTGCTGTGGACCTTCTTAATACCTTGGAAAATGCCGTTTAATACTTTTTAATAGCCGTAATTTTCGCTAAATTGATTTATCAACTTTTAATACTTTTTAAGACCCCGCGGACACCCTGATCAACCAAAAGCAATGAGATTTTTCCATTGGATTTCAGAAAAAAATCATTATAATTTGCATTTTTTCCACCAGAAGGAAAAAGCTATTGCGAGGCAATAAACATTGAAGATTCAAACATTCACCAGTGGGGTATTCACTTGCGTATTTTGTAGAACAAGACGTGAAAATCCCTTCAGCTTGTGTTAACCACCAACCTTATTTATAGACCCTATTGTCTTATCCTATTTATCTAACAAAAAACACATTAAAAACCATTGACTTCAAGATGACTTGAGGACTACACGCAGTCGACTTCACGACTAGTTAACTCTATAGGTTAGTCTGGTTGTGTTACACACCGTGATTTTCTCCCTGGTGTTGACGGAGGGTTGAGGTCGGGACTTCTCTGGAGCTCGCCTCTGAACACCAGGAGTGACGCTCTGAATGCTGGGCGCTTTATTCTGTCTTTGTGTGCGGTAGGCATCAATACTGTAATAAACAGAACAGAAAAACATTCAAACATTGTGTCAACTGAAACCATTGATATTCTATCTAGTCACATGTATCATCATAGCTTTAAGAAGGCCTGTGGGCCTGCTGTTATTACCTGTATAGAGGAGCAGATTCACTAACAGGAGTGGTGGTCTCTTCAGGAGTCAGGAGCAGAGAGGGAGGAATGGAATCCTGGCTTGCTTCCAGTCGCTGTAGGTGGAATATGGAACATTAAATATGTTTTCCAGGGTCTGAATTATGAATGGAACACATGTATGGAAAGCTCATAAGCCGCTTTCACACCAAGTACTTTGCCATACTTAGTCCCGCCGAACTCTTTAGTCCCGGGACTGTCGTAGTAAATCGCGTTCATACCGGACTAAGTCCCTGAGGGAGGATTACGCAAATGAAGCCGCTGACGTCACTACTTCTTCTTCTGCTGCTGCTGCTTTGGGTTTACTGGCAGGCCGCAAACAAATTCACGGCGTATACTAGGGTTGCCAGAAACTGACCATGATCAAAATCGATTATTCGGCAGCCCTGGCGAATAATAATCGATTATTCGACCGACCCCGACCCCCCGCGGGAGAGAAAGAAAAAAACTCAGACAAAAGGAATTCCGTTGTTTGTTTCATTTAACTTCCTTTGGACTTGTAAGTTCGAAGTAGTTCCACGAGGAGGAACTCTTTTTACCTGCCGCTTTGTTCATCTTTAGTCGCACGTGTGAGGGAGAGGGGGGTTGGGGGCGGGCCTCGGTGTGTAGCGTGCTGCAGCAGCAGTCTGCTCTGCACGCAGGCTTCCTCCAAGTTTACAGTAAAACAAACTGGTGGTGTGACCAATGGCCATTTACAATTATTAATACTATTACTATTATTAGCATTAGTCTATATTTTGGTTGAAACTAAGCCGCAGAGGTATTAGTTTTATAATAAAAATTTTAGCTAAAATAATATATAAAGAAATAATAATAAATACAATAAANTCCCCCAGCTTCCCATCAGGCCAGGTTCACCAGTCTCTCACTGGCCTCCCAAAGTTTCTTTGCCACAGCAGCGTCTCTTGCGAAAGGACGCAGAGTAGCTGGTCTGCAGTCGATGAAGTAACCCCCGCTGTGTTTGGCTGCTTCATCTGACACAGCACAGTAGATGACAGTCTGAGCTCCGATCTCACACGGCACAAAAAACATCCACATGATCACCTGCACCAGCATCCGGAACAGGATGGAGTAGTGGCACGTCCAGCCACTTTGGACGAAACCTGGAGCAACACAGATGTGAGGAGAAATGTTAAGCATCAGGAATACAGACTGTCTTCGGGCTGGGAACTATGATTCAAATCTTAGTAATGAGTCATTATAAATCAGGTTTTAAGTATATCTTGTAATAGGGTTGTGATAAAGTCAATTGAGAATGTTTAATCAATAAAATAATATAGCAATGTCTGTTTTGGTTCATTCATTTCCTGTAAATAAATACAATACTGTCATGAAGAAGCCCTGCTCATTGATTTTCAATCATTGTAACCAGATGGTGTGATACAAACACTAATATGAACAATGAGAGCTATATTAATGTAAACTGTACAGCCATGGCCCATGTTTAATAAACAGTTTGAATAGGTTTTTTTTGTGCTTTATAGCCCAACCCTAAATGTCAAAATATGTGGATTGTAAATAAATGTATCATATAATACATGGATATATCAATTCTCTTTTTTAAACTGAATGTTAAAAAAATTCTCAATTTTAATAAAAGATAAAAAGCTGTAACTTCACGACAATTGATCATTTGTTTCTTCTATAATATGTCAGAAAAATCTATGAATTTAGCATCACATTGTGCTACATTAAACTTCCGTTGACAGTAACCTGTATTGTTTTGTAAGCAGCCTGACAGAGTATGCAATAAACACCCAGTTGGACACCAGTGCAGGACAAGAGCAGCAACAAAACAGGCCCTCTTACCGGGGTGCACAGCATAGGAGGTCACTCCTTTCCCTTCAGTGATGCGGGCCACTTCCTGACTGAAGTAGATGTTAGCCAGCTTGCTGCGGCAGTAGGTGAAGAAGGGCAGCTGGTTGTAGTTGAGGTCCTGGAAGTCCAGTTTCTGGTATTTGTAGCTGGAGCATGTGAGGGTGATCACCCGGCTGGGGGCACATTCCTTCAGGCGAGGCAGAAGCAGGTTGGTTAGCAGGAAGTGACCCAAGTGGTTGACGCCAAAACACATGCTGAAGTTGTTGTCTGTCCACTCGAGGACACCGGGCATGCCTGAGGAAGCGCCACAGAGAGTGAAGAAAGAAGTCACAACAATGGCTTTTAGCTCCTGTTGCTGCACAATCTGTACACAACAGCAACCTTAATGCCTGGACACGTGACAAGAAAAAAGCCAACAAATCTTTACTGTAATATTAGCAGGTCAACTCTAACATGCGACCAAACAAACTTCTAAGTCATCACTTTAAAGAATAACATTTGTGCCTCTTTCTTTGGTGGCATTAGTCCTGTATTAAGAATTGTGGTGGACTGCCTGACCTGCATTATTGACCAGGATGTCAAGCTTCTTCTCTCTCTGCAGGAAGCTCTTACAGAACTCCCTCACAGAGCTCAGGTTGGCCAGATCCAGCTCCATGTGGAGGACGTTAAGGCTGTGACTCTTCAACTTGATCTCCCTCACAGCCTTCTCAGCCTTGTCCGGGTCTCTGCAGGCGATGATGACCCGAGCACCTCTCATGGCCAAGGCAATGGCTGTCTCCTTGCCAATGCCAGAATTCCCACCTTGAATAGACACAAATATAAAATTAATGTGTGGAATACAATGGCAGGAGTGTGACAAAGGAAGCACAGCAGTAACATTAACTAAATAAGCAGGTTGTTATGATTATATTAAGCAACAACAGGCAGGGATGTTTGGTATAATCATTAGCAATTGAATCCACACTGAGCTACACATACAGTACATTCTATTACTACACGAAATAACTAAGGGATGCGTTGCAATGAACAAGACATGTTAATTTACCTGTAATGAGAATTGTTTTGCCATCAAGTCTTCTTAGGTCGGTGCAATATCTCCTCTTTTTCAACCATTTCAAAATGAAGAAAACGGCTAAAGACGCGATAATTGTGTAGAGAAAGTACATTTTCCTTTGTTTTGTTAGTCTATTATGAACTACAGTACTGATGCTGCTGGCTATGTGAGCCTATAGCTAAAGTCAGCTAGCTTGCTAGTTGAATAAGAAATACCTCATTCCCATCTCATACTATTCCTCCACTGTGCTGCTTGTCACGCCAAACGTTGCGAAAATTATCCAGGAGGGATTAATCATAACAAGAAACTGTTTTTTGATTCAATTTGACAATCCCCCTCCTCCATATCATTCATTCTTCACTGGGAGATTTGGAGTGTCATGAACTGCACATGCGCGAAATGCTAAAATCCCGTAAGGTCTCGCGAGAATTTACACGTGAATTATCCCAGTATGTAACAACATTTACAATACATGTCTTAGAAAACAACTGCATATACAAGACAGTGTGCGTTTTGTAAAGCATACACTGTAAATAGTGTTTGTGTAAGACCTTTATTTTACCGACCAACGTCTGTTCATTTATAACTTATTAACTGTCATTGGAAAGTCTGTTTGCTATTTAAATGAACTTGATACTCAGATACAACTCAATGGTGGTTTTCCACAAAGCGTGGTGTAGGGCAGATGTGTGTGTTCGCGCAGTGGTATTTTGTTCTTTACCATGCACACGAGAGGGCATTTAAAAGAGACAATTTTTCTCTGTGGAATCTTTCTCCTTTTCTCATCTGAAACAGCTGGTAAGTAACTTTTCAAAGTATTTATAAACATGAGCTAGCTGCTGACCTGCTGTTCAAATATAAAATCGCCCCTTATTATTTTCTCCTGTGAATAGATTAAATTAAATGGGCGTTTTATAACTTATTTGCATTGTGCATTTTAACTAGCAATCTGAATATTTCGATGTTCTATTTCGTATACTAACTCTCTCCTTTAATATTCAGATTTATTTTCAATTCACTCCATTAACATACATAGGGCCGGGAGAGTGGGGTAAGTTGAGCCATTTTTTTGTTATGCTGTCCTCTAAGCAAGGAGAAATGACACATAGTAAAAATGAAAACACACACCTATAATTCAGGATGTCTCCTAGCAATGGCAATGATAATAATTAATATTTGATCAAGGGCAGTAAAAATATTACTTCTTAAAAAAAAAAAGTCTTGTGGCTCAACTTGCCCCCAGTGTAGGGGTANCATTTTTTTGTTATGCTGTCCTCTAAGCAAGGAGAAATGACACATAGTAAAAATGAAAACACACACCTATAATTCAGGATGTCTCCTATCAATGGCAATGATAATAATTAATATTTGATCAAGGGCAGTAAAAATATTACTTCTTAAAAAAAAAAAAGATTCACATGGTTTAATACGCTGCCAACACATCAACATATACAATATACAGTGGGGCAAAAAAGTATTTAGTCAGCCACCAATTGTGCAAGTTCTCCCACTTAAAAAGATGAGAGAGGCCTGTAATTTTCATCCTAGGTACACTTCAACTATGAGAGACAGAATGGGGGGAAAGAATCCAGGAAATCACATTGTAGGATTTTTAATGAATTAATTGGTAAATTCCTCAGTAAAATAAGTATTTGGTCACCTACAAACAAACAAGATTTCTGGCTCTCACAGACCTGTAACTTCTTCTTTAAGAGCCTCCTCTGTCCTCCACTTGTTAACTGTATTAATGGCACCTGTTTGAACTCGTTATCAGTATAAAAGACACCTGTCCACAACCTCAAACAGTCACACTCCAAACTCCACTATGGCCAAGACCAAAGAGCTGTCAAAGGACACCAGAAACAAAAGAGTTTGGAGTGTGACTGTTTGAGGTTGTGGACAGGTGTCTTTTATACTGATANATTAATTTCGGGACGGGTTAGATTGTATTTCGGGACGGTTCCGGGAGGATAGTGAAAAAAGTTAGTCGAGAGCCCTGGTTGCGTTACAGTAACGCGTTAGTTTGTAACGCGTTAGTCCCAACACTGCTCTCCTGTGACATGTTTACATGCTTTAATGTTCAAAAAGACCTTTATTTTTATCATACTGCCTGTTCTGAAGCACCTCTTTTCAACTTCTGTCTGAAACCATAGCCCACTCTGCTCTGATTGGTTAGCTTGTCAGCTCTGTTGTGATTGGTCAACCGCTTAGAGGTGTCCCACCCTCTTAGACTATCACAAACAACTTGTTGGGATGCTAGCCAATAGAAGCGTGTGTTAGTGTTACATAGTGATGTGACTATGTTATGGAAGTAAACAAAACGGTACAATTTGCATTTCAGACATGGGGGAACTTTTGGATTTTAGCCTTTGCAGACCATTTACATGCACTAAAACCACAAGAAGCATAATAGGGCCCCTTTAAGATGGTTCGATGAAAAAAGTCCAATGCTGTCCCTGTAGTTCTTTAGCTTTAAGATTGTATTAAGCTTTAAAATAGGCAGTACTACTGTCGATCGGAAAATGTTTACTTATGTGAGATATTTCTAAAGATGAGGGATATGTGTTATGGATACCTTGCTCCATCTGACTTAGAACTAGCAGTGATGCGAATGTTTCCCAACTTCCAGTTGGAGTAGTCCTCTGAGGGATCGGGGACGAAGCTGAAGGCACCAGTGTTGGGCAGATTCCTTCCGAGGGAGTACAGGTAGCTCAGCTCGGCCTGCAGAGAGGATGATCCGTTCACCCCCGCCTCAGTGCTCCTGCTGAACTCTCTGTAACCCCACAGCTCTAGGTTGACCGTCTCTTCCCCAATCAAAGAGCTGTTCCATGTCATCTTTAGCCGTCCAGACACGTTTGGTGTGCCGTAGTGCTGCCACTGTGTTGCATTCACCGGGATGACTTCAAAGGCAGGGTCAGCCTTACTGGGGTGGACTAACAGTAAAAAACAGAATAGATTTAGGGGATCACACAGGTTTGCTCTACCATGAGTTGTGCAGATTCAACATAAAACATGTCGGACAACGATAAGAAGACGCATGAGAAAATAACTGCATTGAGAAGCTACTTTTGCTTAATAAAAAGTATTGATCAAGTGGTTGCATAAATGGTTTGTCCGTTCAGCTTTTCATAGCGGAACCACCTTTTCAGAACATTTCTTTCTTTATTTGAAATGCCACCTTATAAGCTTTACCTGAAATGATACATTTAGAGGAGGTATTTCTTAAAATGTTAATTTTAAATAATGTTTCCTGATACTCACTCAGTACTATGTATAACAAATCACAGGTTCACAAGTCAATTCAGAAGTGGAACAAATATATATATTCCAGAAACACACCTGACAAGAACTCTCCAGATCTGTCAAAATGTATCCCGTCAATTGAGATAGTAAATGGTATCCAACCTGTCTCGTACAATAAAGGAGAGATACAGTAGCCGTGGCCTTCATCATCAATAAATCCTTCTTGTTCAATTTCACCCTTGAACCTTCAAATGGAAAAAAGGCACATTTGGTTTTATTTGTTTATGGCATGTTACGTTACACAACGTTACTACTCGGCCTTCAATACAATTTGTATTCAGTAAACCCTCCGACATTCTAGAGTAGTAGAATAACCTTTCAAAATGCTTTCATTCAACATTTAATGACAGTCAGTAAATATTATGTCTTTCTCAGGATGAAATGTGCAGCTTTTATTTGTGAGTGGATCACTGAAATAAAGGATAAGCTATTTTATATATTAGACTTGCATTTAAACTGCATTATCTGAAAAATTTAATTTGTTAATCCAAAGTAATTTTCATATTTTTAATCTTTTTTCATCTGCTTTTAAAAACAGGGTTATCATTATTGTAATTACTGTATTTATATTATTATTATTATTATTATTATTATTGATATAAAAATAACCCGTGTGTGCCACTTCTTTATGAAAGCGACTCTGCTGATCTACAAATACGTTTTTGCAAAATAACTAATTTTTGCTTTTTTTACAACTCCAACAAATTACCTATTCAACTGAAAAGATATTTGATCTTAAATGATATGTTATTTTACAGTAAGGAACGTTTTTTTTTCGATTTTCTCAGGATTACTCTGTGCTTTTTCTGGAAAATATTGGAATTCACACATAAATATCAGTAACGAATACTTAATTTGATAGTAAGTAGCCTTGCACAGAACAAAGTCTAATGAAAAACACATGCACTTTGTCAAAAAAACTCATATGATCTGTATATAGTGTACATATTTTCACTGTGAGAACCTAATCAGATGATGAGTACTCGATTAAGATCTTGAATACGTCAGCCGTGGTTGTAGACACAAACCTGCAGAGAAGTCGCCCACCAGGATGAAGGGCCACGCCGAGGATCCTGAGAGCTCTACCGCCTAGCATGGAGCTGGAGTGAGGCGTCACCTGGAAACACGACTGGTTGTAGTCTGCACAACTCTTCAGCAAAGACACACAGGTTGCATGGCAGGAGCATATCTCCAACACGTCTCCACACTGTCCCCTGGATGTTTGACCTAGTGAAAAACATACAAAACATTTTAAATAAAAACAATGGTGGAGAAAGTATTCAGATTAGTTATTAAGGAAACAATACCACTGTGTAAAAAGGTTAAATAAGTCATGCTATAATTTAACAAAAGAAAAGTACATATGTATCCCATTTGAGTATAAATTATATTGTTGAATTATAATTATGGATGTTATTAATGTGTTCATCACAATGTTGCAGCTGGTGGGGCTATATTTCTAAATAGTACACAAACACACACATAGGGGAGAAGGGGGTAAGCTGAGCCAGTGGGTAAATTGAACCACCCCCTGTAACCAGGCAACACCTTATAGTTGTAATCAAGTGACCAGAAATTATGCAAGCTCCACCCATTTCTCATTGCCTGTGAAAGAGAGATACTCATTGTGGTCTGGTAAGTAAACATTTTTAACAAAAAAACGTTTTTTGCTTGTCAAAGTACATTTTCTAGATGTCAGCTATATCGGCTGTCATGTCAAATGTCAAATCATTAAGCTAAAGATGACTGAATTGTAATGCTAGGCTATTTTTTCTAAAATGGTGGCTATGGGGTAAAGTGAACCATGGGCCTTGGGGTAAGTTGAGCCAGTTTTTCAATGGAGAAATTAATGAAAGTAGGCCAAGTTGATCATAAGAGCTCATTGTAGGCTACATTTAAAGTTGAATTTACCCTGTGTTTGATTGGTAAGATGTATGAAATTGTATCACCATTTGTAAGATTAATTTTCCTTTAAAAATCAATCAATTCAATCGAAATTTATATTAAAAATATTGGAAAAACTAGGCTTGTATTTGGTTTGTTATTTATTGTTTATAGTTACCTTTAAGATTTGTTGTAGGTATGCCCAGGTTTGAACAGGTATGCCCAGGTTTGAACAGTGGTTCAATTTACCCCCTGACCTGGATCAACTNCGTTTATTTTGACAAGGAGGTTTAATAACTGTGTGCTACACAAAACGTGCAGTCAGTTTCATTTTCATCGCCGTTCATCTCTCGTCCCAAATTCGTCCCAAAATATTTTTTTATCCTCCCCGACACTATTTTTTTCGGCCCCGGGACGACGGGACGTCCTTAAGCTCGAGCCCTGAACGCAACTACCTTTTGCGTTAACTAATAACGTTACTAGTTAGCTATTCCCATTCAGTAACGCCGTTATAGTTACTGTGAGTTAAATGGGTGCGTTACTGCGTTACATTATGTGATCCAACTTAACCAAATCGTATGCAATTTACAGGCGAATACAGCGGTGTCCTCTCACAGTACCATGGAAAAGTGAAAGTAACCAGAGAGGAGTGATGATTGGTTAGCGGGGTAACATTTCAGGGTAAGCCAATCAGAGACACAGTTGGGCGGTTCTTGCCTTATGGGGAAAATACACAGACACACGAACACTTGCTAACACACACACACATACACGGCAACACACACACACACACACACACACACACACACACACACACACACACACACACACACACACACACACACACACACACACAATGGCAGATTGTATCAGCAAGAGCAGCAGCAGCGCTGCACAGCACATATCTTTTGTGTTTTATTGTTTCACTACATTTCATAAAGATAATTGCTACAATGATGGGGAGTTGTCTTTTCTCTTACTGTGCCACAGAACAACACAAAAACTTGTATTTGTATTGTTATGATTTTTAAAGTAAAGTAACTTGTTACTTTTATAATTTAGTAACTAATAAAGTAACCAGTTACTTTTTTGAGAGCAGTAACTATAACTATTATTAGTTACTTTTTAAAAGTAACTTGCCCAACACTGCAGGAGAGACAAACAATACAAATATGAAACCTGAAAATAAGCATAATATGGCCCCTTAAGAAAGAAATGTCTCCTTAAAACCCTCTTACCAAATTTTACAAATATTCTGACATTCACCAATCTTTCTATATTGGGATTTGTTGGTTAATCTACGCACACAATTCTACAGTTGGATAAGTTATACAATTTAAGTTAAAACAAAATAATATAATACAAGTTTTAATTAATTTACAACACCTTATGATCTTTTAAAATAAATAAGCACTAAACTGGCATTAACGCTATTAAAACATTTGAAACCACTGACTAAGCTTTCTTTTCAACACGACCCTGCAGATCATTGAACATTTCTCAAGGACACATTTAAGAAACAAACTTAGGTAGCAAATGGTATTTTAAGCTTTTTCTACTTTTTAAGTATTGTCACCCCAGGCTTTTGAAATTGTGTTAGTATATTTATTTTGTGCAATTTTTCCTGACATTTGATTGACAGTATGATAAATGGATTATTAGACCAATTAACGACCACAGAATGCATTTCAGCTCTTGCTTAAACTCTGTTATTTCCCTTAAAAAAATTAAAGTTAAATATTCTTAAAATTGTGTTTGTTGTATACGCAGGGATGTAGAGGGGCTCTGGAGCGGTGGGCATGTTAGCCTGGCACCTGGAGCAGGCTTTCAGAGATAAGTTTGCAGCCTGGGCCAGAAGCCGGTGTCTGCAGTGGGACGTCCTGGAGAACAAGCTGCCCAACTTCCTGGAGGAACTCATTACCTGCCCCTGCACTCTGGCACAGGCCCGCGCTGACACAGGCGGGTTTCATGTGAGTGCAATTCAGAGGTGGGAATTAGTGGAGTACAAATACTTTGTCCCTGTACTTAAGTACATTTTTCTGGTATCAGTACTTTACTGCACTACTTATATTTTTCTGACGACTTTTTACTTTTACTTCTTACATTTTTAACACAAATACCTGTACTTAATACTTCTTACATTTTAAAAACAAATACCTGTACTTTCTACTTCTTACGTTTTCAAAACAGGTTTGTTCCTTTAGTTTGAATCTGTGTTTGGTGGCGTGATCATTATTATTTAGAGTCATTGCATGCCTATTGATTTTAACACGATCCGTGTATCCATAATTTCCTGGTCTTCTCTAAAGAAGAGGGACCAATGAAAACGCTGTCATGTTACCGTTGTTCAGCATCGAAACATTCATTCGCTAACAATGACATTATTGTTCTATTCATATAAAGGGAGGTCAGTTTCTCTATAAAACTGCTGGTAGTTATGGGTATTTTTTACTTAAGTACATTTCGAAGCCCATACTTCTTTACTTTTACTTGAGTAAAGAAGTTTAGTCAGTACTTGTACTTTTACCAGAGTATTTTTAAACATGAGTATCTATACTTCTACTTGAGTAAAGGATGTGTGTACTTTTGCCATCTCTGGTGCACTTTGATCAACTTCGGTACTTTTATATTACCAATATACATGTTTTATTTTTAAAGATTTATAATTATATTTTTTCAGTTGATTAGTATAAATAATAACTTAACTTAGTTAAAAAATAACTCGTAACGTAAATAACTATTAGTGGTAGTATCAACACTTAAAGAATCAATATATTAAGCGTATCCTATGGCAGAAACCTTAACTAAATGACCTTCTTAAGCTTAATTCAAGAACCTATAACACTGTCTTACAAGTATAGTTGATGTTTTAATATATATAACGTGCTAATTAAACGTAAGCGTTTTCAAAAGGGTGTTAATAGCGGTGTGTTTTAGCATTAATATTAACATTCTGACAGCGGAGAAGACACACATATTGTGTGATGCAATAAGCGAAGACTTCTTTGTTCTAAGCAGAGTACCAGTTAGCTCATCAGAGTCAAATATTTTAAAAGCCAGACAAGACGGAATATAAATTATGTTTTAATGGCATATATTGCAAGCAAATTCATAAACAAAACAGAACTATACATATGATGACAGCCACATTGTGACCAGTCAGCATGAAGAGGTAGCCTGGATTTCAGGACGTAAACAAAAGAACTGCAGTGATTCAATTGCATAGTACAAAATATTTGAAGTCATTCATTCATCCCAGAGACCAAAGACTGTCTGGACTCATTTAGGGAACTTGCTTTCAATCATTAAATGTGATCTGCATTAAAATACTTTATTAGACTTCTGTTAACCAGAAATAAAACCGATCAATAAGTGTTGTTTCTTGAATGTTAATGTTTATATTTGCAAATCATATTAGATTGATGATAATTGTATTACTGAGACAGTTTTTATTCACTGTGTTATTTCAGACTGATTATAGTTGTGACATTGAGCGGGGCAGTGTGTGCACTTATCACCCAGGTTCCGTCCACTGCGTCAGAGCCATTCAGGCCAGGTAGGAGTGTTTATCTTATGTAAAATAAATTGATACATTTTTACAAACCTTTTGACATGGTTTTATTTTAATTTTTCCAGTCCTAAGCATGGATCGGGGCAGCAGTGCTGCTATGACAGCACAGGGGCTCTGGTGCTGACGGGAGACTCGATTGGGGCAGCACCCCGGACAGGGCTCACGACTGGGGCTCGCCTCCGTACAGGGAGCCCCCACGGGTGCCGGGGTACTCACACTGGATTTGCGATGTCATGAGTTTCTACTACTGCTGCCTGTGGTCTGACCACTGCAACATCTACTTCAACCATCGCCCTTCTAGCGGCGGTCGCAGCTACCAGCCCCCAAAAGCTGGTGAGACACTTAATAAGTCACATCAAGTCGATTTCATGTTTTTATAACTCAATATACGCACAGTAGCACAGACCTACTTAACCAGTAAAAAGTTAATTTGAATCTGAAATTACATTTGCTACAGTGCCTAAATTAGAAACTACAATGTGTTATTTTCACTAGGGTCAGCCACCTTTATTAACAAAGGAGCCATTGTCCCCCCTTTGCCACCAAATTATGTGTGTCTGGAGGTGTAAAACATTTTTGAAACACAGCTTCTAAAGTTTTATAGAGTTATACTATGTATACAAAAACTAGTTTGTTGCATAGAAAATAAAGAAACATTTTGAAAGTCTATTGACATTTCTACCTGTTTAACATAAGTAGCAGCAAATGCTGTGTCCTTGTCCTGGAAATGTCTTTCAAGATTACCTTTTTTTTTGGGTTGCTGATTTCTCACAATATATCAAACATAAAGGTAAGCCTTTATTGTTGGCATGCAAAGCAAAGGAATCTAAATACACAGAATTAAACTCTCTATTTCATTTGTGCTTTTTCTTTTTTTTTGGAGTTGAATTTATCTGTGTGAGTCTATAAATCCACAGATGAACAAAATTCTATATATAGAGAATTTAGTGTGTATCTTTTTTCTTTATCCTGCAACTGGATGATTAGGAGGAGGGCTACCTCTGCATAAGCTATGCTTTCTGCCCTCCTGGTTCTTCTAATTGTGTTTGTTTCTTGGATGTATAAATTATCTAATTGTTTAAATAGTAGAACAAATAATAAAATACAAAAATCATGGTTAGTTTTCCAAGGCCGGGAGGTCTGAAATTGAGGATTAGCTACCACCGTGAGGCGCCAGAACATAGATGTAGAAGGACGTGACGCATAATAAGCTATCAAATTCTAATACTATTTCAGTTTCACAGTGCCTCAAACTTGGAGACGAATAGAGAACCTTTCAAAAAAGTGTCCATTGTGCAACAAAAAAGAAAAATAGCTGTTATATTTCTAAGTTATTTTTGTTCAAAGCTAGAGGGAGCCGCTGAAAAGCCTCTTTTTTGTAAACAAGCTTTATGCTATTGTTGTGTTGTAGTTGTATCAGAAATCTTCCCAATATACTAAGACCATTTCGGTGCTGTGTCATCTATCACATCTTTAACCATTTATTGAATATAGAGCAGTTCCACACTCCATACTTCAATCACATAGGATTTAAAAGGAACATCTTTGAGCTGTCTTGACCTTTGGAACAACATGTGTGAATTTTCCTATTTCCCCTGCAAGGCTTGTGGTTTATTGTTTTAGTCTGCATTACAAATATAACGTTTTTCTCCTGTGTGGAAGAAAGTGTGGAATTTTTCAATAGATATTATATTATTTCTTAGCATCAAACATGATCTGTTTCTTGATGAATAAAGGGGGTTGCTGGTTTCAGTTTGCTGAATTTTGAGTAAAGCTTTCGATGCAAGAAGTGCACCGCGACACACACTTGCTACAGTATATTCTACACATGGACACTAGAGTAATACCAGAGGAGTTTTCAGGAACAATAACTGAATTACAGACTGCGGCTGAGAGTTACAATGTGAAAACATATTAGATCACACAATTGACTTCCTGCTCTCCAGAGACTATAAAGACAACAATAGACCGCATACTGATGTGAGAGATGTACTGTGAAAGGAATAAGTTTATGTGAGTATTTGTTGTAAACGCATCAGTCATTTCTTTCTCGTCGCCTTGCAGGTGTTGTCCTCGGGGATCCGCATTTCGTAACGTTCGACGGGCTCAGCTACACTTTCAACGGCCAAGGAGAATACTACCTTGTGTCTTCTCCAGACAGAGAGCTGAGTGTTCAGGCCAGAACAGAGGCGCTGAAATGTAAGAACGGTGAGTGCACATTTGATGTGAAAGGCCCGTCTGTGTCCACTCTTTAAACCACATGCTACTACTGCAGCAGCTTTGTTTGGATCAAAATGTTTCCAGGACTAACGATAATCCTTTTTTTATTATTTGAGTGATTTTTTATTTTTTACCAGTCACAAGATTGATTACCTGCCTCTAAATTTGACTTGTTTTTGTCTTCTTTTGCTTGGACTTTTTGCTTTGCACTCTCCTCTTAAAGGGGCCCAATTATGCTCATGTTAAGGTTTCATAATCGTATGGTGTGCCTCTTCTGTGACATGTTTCCATGCTTTAATGTTCATAAAGGTCTTTATTTTTCTCATACTGCCTGTGCTGCAGCTCTTTTCACCCTCTGTCTGAAACCAGAGCCCAGAAATCCCCAAAAAGCATAATATGGCCTCTTTAAAAAGAGTTAAAAGCTCAATCACATCTTTAACACTCCTTTTCTTCTGCAGGCAAGTGATGTCAGGTATTTCTTGTGTGATTGAAACATGTTGCCGCTGACAAATGACAGAATATAACTTAGTTCCCGCCTGTTTTTGCTGAGTATCTCTTGGGTTCAGAAGTGGTAAAGAAAAACAGAAGTTGGCTTCATTTTTCACAATGTTCTCCAAGCCATTACACAACAGCCACTAGACCAGTGAATGCAGATGATCACATGTCATTAATATTATTTCTCCTCATTAGATCAGTAAAATCAAACATTGAGATGATCTGATATGCAGAGAGATGAACAGTAATACAGAATATGTTGTACATTGTTATGCTGTTAAAATACCACTCGTCACGGCTTAAGCTTCAATATCAGGATACATGTATTTATTATCCTTGCAAGAATGGAAGTAGTCATCACATACAGGGTTGCGTCGGACAAATAGTTCCCAGAATAGTGTCCTTGACATGCTTTAAATACAAGAGAGGGTTACACTCACAATAGGCAGAATACCGGTAATGCAGTATACAATGTTTAGTTCAGATTTTCTAAGGCCTGCGTAAGCAATAAACATGACAGTCATATGCCTATTTCCCTATAGGCTGAATCATCATGTTAATCGTTGTCACATAGCTATCATATGCCTAAAACAGTGTGTCCTGACGCTCTTCTAGGTAATCATACATCCGGTTACGTACACAGCTACGTAGGGCCTTTGTTATCATGTGCTCCTCTGATATTGGGAAGAGTACATTCAGTATTTTCCCAACATAACCATCCTGATATTGAAGCTCAAGCCGGTGACGAGTGATATTTTTCCTAACATACAGAGTAGCACATCTGTGATATTGTGACGTTTATATTGACCACCAAGGTACCTTGGCCAAAGCCACAGTGCTGTCATCCGTGGCTATGAAGGGAAATACCTCTGATGTCATCGAGGTGCGTCTAGCAAATGGCCACCTTCAGGTGCTGAGGAACCAAAAGGTCCTACCTTTCACCGAGCAGAGATGGATGGACCTACACGGTGAGAACTTCATACCATTCTTTATTGTGGTTACACTTTCTGTGTGACCCTATAATGCATTATAAACATATGTATGATGCGTTATACTCTGCCTATTGTACTAAACAGTTACAGTTATAAGCAATCAATATATTCATAATGATTATAACATGATTATAAAACATTATATTTAAGCAATAGCTCACGACAGGCCGTGGTATATGCTCATTATATCACAGCTAAGGGGCGTGGTTCGGCCCGACGCGAATATTCATCACTCTTTATTATTCATCACCTATAAGCCCTAGTAAAGCCATTATACAGCAGTTTTTTATTTATTATAGACACGGCATATTATATACAGCATATAATATTGACATTAAATAACACATTGTCAAAAAATATTTCCTGCTTATGTTACCAGAAAAATATTTTTTCTTTGTATTAATTAAGTTTCAAAATGCCACTTCTTGAGATGAGATTTTCCACTAATGACAATAACCAGTTGTAACAAAATGTGATGCTCTATTTTATTTTGTAAAAATAAAATGTCTCTTTTTTTTTTTTTTGGTCTAGGAGTATTTGTGTTCACCCCCAGTCTTCAGAATGTGACAGTAATCTTCCTTTCTGGAGTTGGCGTGGAGGTTCGAGTGCGTGCAGGAGCCATGGCAGTGACCGTCCTGCTTCCATCAGAGTTTACTAACCACACTCAGGGTCTCCTCGGTCTCATGAACTCTGACCCCTCAGATGACCTGTTGACCGGACTAGGAGAGATCCTTTCCCCAGCCGACGCCACGCCGGAGGAAATCTTCACCTTTGGAGCTGGCTGTGAGCATGAAAGACTTGTATATGTTACATCAATCATATTGATCAATGCGGCATTTTGCTCAGTTGCTCAGTGTTCACTTTAAAGCGGTAGACGATGGGTGGATGGCTAACATTGATGCGTATCTGAACTGAATGTTTTGTTACTTTTATCCACAGGGAACATTTCAAAGACGTCCTCCCTCTTCACATTTGACTCAAAGTACCTTATGGATACATACTATTTCCCACCAAGCCATGATGCTGCCTTTGTTCCCGCCTTTTCTCTACCCGAGACACCCGATGACCCTCTGATGGCAGACATGTTGGCGATGTGCTTGGGAGAAGGAGCCCAGTTTTGTAAATATGATACCCTGACCACACAGAGCCTGAGAATGGGAAACGCCACACTCGGGGCCTACCAAAGCCATCTGGACCTTACGGAAGCCCTGGAGCAAGGTACAGCACAACATGTGTATTACATGCCAACATGCAAATGTATCATACAACTTTGCTATTGCTGGCTTTACATAAAAAAGGATAATGGTATACCTTAAAATGCCTGTACACTCTCTAACCTGATCAGTAATAGATTGTGTCCAGTATGGAATTCAGCTATACTAATAAGAAAAAGATACTGTAAATAAAGTGAATGTATTTGTTTTTCATACGTTTAAAAAACATTTGATTATTACTATTTGGGACAGCATACAGTTTTGATATTTATTTTCTAATGTGTTATTGTTCCTTCTAGTGGTGTCTTGTGGCTGGCTTCCCACACCTAGGAATGGGAAGAAGAATGGGACACATTACCTGGAGGGCTGCTGTCTGAGCTTCACCTGCGATCAAGGCTTCTCACTGTACGGCTCAACGGAGCGCACCTGTCTAGATGATGGGAGCTGGACAGGAGAGCAGCCCTACTGTATCACAGGTTTGTTATATGAAACAAAACCAATAGAGGAGAGAAGCACTACGTCACTGCCTGGCGAAATGACGGCCCCGCCCACATTCTGGGTTAAAACTAAGAATTGGCGCCAAGCGGAATTTTTTTTTTTTTATAATGCCTTAAAGCTGCTATGTCTTGTATTGCCAACAAACAACAAAAGATCCAGAGTTCACATTTTTGTACACCTTTACTTAGAGAAAAGGACAATAAAATGTCATCTCTGTGGCATCAGGCCATCCACAGAGAGCGCGGAGATCATAATCAAAGGGACCCAGTCAGTCCAATGACAGCAACTGTTTTCACCCATAAAGGGGCGGGGCCTATCATAGAGGGAAAGTACCCGGATGGGTTGCTCTCATTTATAGCCAGTTAAATAAACATGTTGTATGAACTGTAATGTATGGGAGAAAAGCAGCAATCTTTTTGAACACTTATGAAGTATACCATCAATATGACATGCTCTATAGATAATACTAGAAAAACTCTCTGATGTGGTGCGTTAACTTATTCTTTGACAGAGTTTTAAAGGTCCCATGTCATGGCCATTTCTACTGATCATAATTCCATTGTTGAGGTATACTAAAATAGATTTATACTGTGCAATATTCCAAACTCACATTGGTTTCTCATACAGCACCTCTGTATAGTATGTGTATTCACTCTCTGTCCTAAACGGCTTGTTGGAGCTCCTGCCCCCCCCCCTCCCTATGAGCCCAGTGTGCTCTGATTGGTTGGGACGTTGCGAGGCTCGCTGCTCAGTGATCTGGCTTACTGGTGTGGTTTCCGGGTCTGCGATACAGCGAGACAACGCAAAACTCATCCTGAGCACACACAAACACTCACAGCCGAAGTAAAAACAATAAGTGTGGCTTGATATTGAGTAAGAAAAAGGTTTATAACGCTGTGAGAATGGGTCTGCGGAGAGCATTTCTCTGCAATCCCAACTCGTCTATTACCAACCAGGGAGCTCTATGCAAGTCAATGGGACTCCCTGTTAGTTAGAAATGTACGCTAAAGGGCCTGGTGTGTGAGGAGCTCCGCGGATTGGTCCATTTGTTTATTCCGGGAACCGCATGACGTCATGCGGTTCAAAACAAATGGAAAAAGAGAAATCTCCAACGAGGCGTTTTGGGGCAGCATAGACAGTTATTTTCTGTGTCAGAGTTTTACTCGCTACAGGGTGTACTTTGAGGGTTTTTGACTCTGCAGACCGTTTACATGCATAAAAACCTTCATAACATACAAGGGGACGGGTAATAACCAGAAAAGCATGACGTGGGACCTTTAAGAGTCAGGACACTATTGCATGTATTAGCTATGTACAGTATTAAGCACACATTGATATTTGAGTAAAATGTAATTGTAACTTTTTTTGTATAAGCAATGGTCTACATTTGCATTATATTAAACAAAGACAGATCTTTCGCCAACAGTCTGGGAAACTAACAGATCACCATGACATATTTTATAATAATATTTGTTTAACTCTCTACAAGTTGATGGCAACCTAATGGCTTCATGTTGGAAAGATTTTTCAGTACAGTATTCTTCTTCCAAAAATATGGTTAAAATATGCAAAACTATTTTTTCCCACAGTTTGTTTTGGTCTGCATATCTCTAACCAGTGTGTTTTTCGTTCTGTTATTCACTTGTGAAACTGTTTCCCACGATTGCTTAAAAAAGACTCTACATATAAAAGTTACATACTTACTTATTACTGACAAACTCCCCACATGTTTTATATTGAGTATGATTGGCTGAATCCTCTAATGAAAAGCGAGGGGGACTTTGGGAATCCTCTTCTCATCCAGTCTCTTTGAAAGTAAAGATTCAATAGACTCAGCTCTCGGTTCCTCCTGCTGACCATTAGCTACAAAGCTATAAACTTCTGAACCTGGATTGGCTAGGCTTTCTGTTTGTAAATTGGAAGCACCTGGGTCCTGCTAATGGTTTCATTCATCACCACAACCGTGAAATCTCAGAGTAGTGGTGTGGAGGACCGCTGACGCCATTAGGTGGCAGTATTTCCCACTTCATTATTAGTGTGGCTGCAGATGAATAGCTCTTTATGTGAAGCAGGCTGATTTTCAAGGAAAAAATGTGATTTATAAGTATTAACACAGCAAAATAGGACGAAATTAGATATTTATCTCTTTGGTTTTGGCTTCATTGTTGGGCTTTTGAAGTGTGAGATAGCAGAGAAATACAGCCACTTGTGATCCATCTATAATGGCATGGGCATCCCTTCATGGCTTTACTCCAATTCTTAATCCTTACCTTGTTATATCAGGGTTGACGACCACGTAACAACCAATCTATCCTGACTCCTTCATCAGGCAAAAACATATATCGTTTTAAAGTTGAGCACTGTTTAGACATATTTTTCATTTTCCTGACCTTTGTCATTTTGCTTACCTCTCATGACATGCTTTCTGACACCTCTAATAGGTATTCAACCGAATCAGATCATAATTATCCTGGCTAAATGAATTGTGCCTCAGAATATTTTCCCAATTATCATTTGAAAAACATATACTAGAGTCACTTCAAGTTCAGTTTTAATCACAGATAGTATTTTTCTACATCAACGTCCTTTTAAGTGAAGAAAAAAACGACTATTTTAAATAAGGCAATAGTAAATCATAAATATAGGATCACATTTTTGAATTTCATTGTATCTCCTTTATTTTATAAATCAGGCTTTATGGTTCATGAAAACAAGTCACTCATGTGAGGATATTCATGAGGATCCCGATAATGAAAATTCACTACAATTACCTCATTGTCTTTTACTTATCCTGATCCGAGATAAAACCCTATATCGTCCTATCTCTAAACTCTATTCTTGGACATAAAGCCATGCCTGCTGATGTTATTTCCATGGCCTTAATGTAGCGACCAATCATCGTAAAGTTTAGAGAGGATCCGTCGTAGTGTATCTGCTGTCCCTATGTTTTGTTCTATGCACATATACAAAGCTGGACTGTTTTATGTCTGTGACAATGATCACACTTGCTCTGACACTCTCATTATAACAATCAGAGCTAACAACTGTCAACATGACCTGAGGGGCTCAATGGCTGGTGTTGCATGAGCTGTTACCTCCACCATCCAAATGTGACCTCTGGCCATGTAAACAATACTAAATACAGACCGAGCAGGAGGCGCCCCGACGGGTTCCTCCTCTTCCTCCTCTTCCTCCCCTTATATGAATCACTGCGGCATGATGTGTAGACCAGAGAATTGTAGTCATAGCTAAGATGAAAACGGTGTGTCCCGCTCAAGAACAAATGCCACCACATCCAGTTTGACTTCTTCTACTCTGAGTCACTTCAATGAGCCGCTGTTGAAATGCCGCCTGTCAGCAGAGGTGACACTAATTCCTTTCTATTTAGAATTAATCTCCCATCACTGAAAGCCACACCTTTTTCAGATGGATTATAACCTGCTGCCACATTTTGACAGAGGTGTGGTGTATTGTGATGATCAATGTTAATGTCTTCTGCTAGGAAGTGTGTTGCAGAGGTGAGGTTGAAGTTTGCTTTGTAAATCCTTGATCTAACGACAAACAGAGCCATTGCACACTTGAAAGGTACAAGGTTAGAGTTTACTAGCTTGGCTGTTCTTTGTCACGATCTTGAGTATCAGATGCATGCAAATAACAGGATCACTCCATCTCGATTGCATTATAATATTAATGGAGTTTCTTGCAGAGAGGTGAAGAAATTGATTTAAAGGAAAGGTGACAGCTGCCAGAGAGGGATAAAGCGATTTTTAACAGGAAAAAGTAACGTGGGTTGCAAGACAAAGCCTCACTCAATTTTCTGCCTGTGGTTCTCTTCTCAGATTCCCCTGAGATAAGCAGGGAGGGATGTTTGGTAGGTGGAGCTTACGCAGAAAAAATAGTTGAAATGCTATGGGCAGCTTGAGAAAAGTTGAAATCTACCTAAAAACAAGGACTACAAAACTTCAGTCTACTCACTTTTCCAGTCTAATAGCTGCTCGTGAACAACAGTGTCGAGATTAGGAGGTTTTGTTTGTGCTTATACACAGATCAATTATCTGATGAGGGCTGTTTCCGTGCTTTGGTGAGGGCTGCTTATGTGTGTCAAGTCTGCTGCTTCCCCAAATGCGCCTAGTAGTTTGTCCTCAACACATTAGATTGTGTTGGAATCTATTACAGAATTGGTTTTGCAATTTTTCGCTAGAC